AAAAAAAAAAATTTTTACCACTAAATAAAAATTTAATACACACAAACTGAAGACGCACAATTACTACTCTACTGAGAATAGAATACATGGCACTTACCTTTATTGAAGATCTGGTGATGATTGATGGGATGGGAGGAGGGAAGAGTTTGGAAGTTATTGTTTAGAAGGGGAATCCCCTTCCATTAGGACTTGAGGTAGTAAGTCCTTTTCCGGGGTTACTTCCCTTCTTCTTTTAATGCCACTAGGACCAGATTGAGTCACTGGACCTCTGTCGCACAACAAATCTGTCCATAGAGCTCTGTACCTCCCGTTCCTTTAAGACTCCTAAAATGGGCCATAACATTGTCAATGTACAGGTTGCCAACACGGCTTGCAGTAGCTATGTCAGGGTAATTTTCATCCATAAACGTTTGCAGTTCAACCCACTTTGCACGCATTTCCTTAACCCCTTTCAGGGTCCCCAGGCCATCTTCTAGACTTGTTCTCAGGGTCGCCCAAATTTCAAAAAAAAAAAAATATATTTCTTATGAAAAGATAGAGAATCTTTTCCCAATCATAATGACACAAAAAGTATGAAATTTGATGGAAAACTTACTGAATTATGCTCTCGCGAAGTTAGCGGTCTCACGGGTTTACGCATTGGCTATTTAGCCACTTGAGCCCTATTTTCGCCAATTCCGTGTACTATCGACAAAAATTTTATAACTAATCACTAGAACCCATTTTTTTCTCCTCGAATGAGTACAAGAAACCACCCATTTATCGATTTCAACTATCCAATACGTGTCAGAATTTAGAAAATTTTGCCAATTTCCCCACAAATTTCAAAAGATGCCAAATTTCCAAATAGGGTCCAGAATAAACAAGAAAGGCATTCCGGGCACTAAAATACCATTTCCTCTTTTTCTTTAAAATCACGCCCCATGCCCCCTTTCTTTCTTTTACTTTCCACTTTAAATTTTTTATTCTAAAACCAAAAAAATAGAAGATTTACTGTTATGCAGACTACTGCATTAGTGTAGAAATGGTATAAATAATATCAGCGCGCTTGTGAAAGAATATTAGACTCTCCAGTTGACATGTATTGGATGCATAGCATGATTTGTTTACTTTTGAACTTTGGTAAAAATCGAACATTTCTGCTACTTTGAGCTCAATTTCAAGGTACTTTTCATTGCAAAAACCAGTCAAAATCATCTCAATTTCTGTAATATGTCTTCCATTTTATAAAATGAGACCAGGAAAACTACAATACAACAATAAATACCATACGAAAATACAGTGCAAAGTCACTGTTTTAATACAAAAACACGGTCAATGTTTTTTTTTTTCTCATTACGCACTGTGTGCTGCAGGATTTTTTTTATACTGCGCACACTGACCACATAGACCCATTCTTTCATATGTAGGCCTCCCAGCTTTCTCTCATTAGATTTGAGGGCGCTAGAATTTAGGTGTACTAGTACATCAAAAATCCTGGTGCGTATGCTGTACTAGTACGGCCGAAACCCTGAAAAGGTTAATATATGTAAATATGTTATCAGGTTTTTATATGCATTTGAGAGAAACAAAAAAGTTGTTTTACTTCGCAGCATTTTTTTGCTTTACAGTGGTATCCTGGAACCTAACCTGCTGTATAAGTGGGGGCCCTCTTGTATACAGTCGGGCCCCACTTATATGGCAGGTTAGGTTCCAGGCTGCCGCCGTATAGCGGAAATCGCCATCAAGTGGAACACCCTTTTTTCCACTTCTAAATGCATATAATACTAGATAACAAATTTGCACTAATATATATTAAGTTAGCAATAGAACTAGGTATTAAAAAACAATAAAAAAGTAAAATGCACATATAGAACACTCATTACTTCCCTTAAAATATTTGTAGTCTTAATGTAGGGTGAGATGAGTAGTATTCATTGTAAGAAATCAAGTGTGGTATGTATGGTAGCCAGCCAGGCTACCATACCAGGCACCCCACCCACACATAATATACTACAACATTTCAAGTGTCCCAGAGCGATAAAATGCATATACAGTTCACTCATTACTTACCTTAAAATATTTGTAGTCTTAATGTAGGGTCAGAGGTGAGTAAACGAGATAAAACAAATAAACGAGAGAGAGAATGAGTATATGAGAGAGGACAGACGTGGAGTTATGTAAGCAAACCAGGCAAATGCGTCTGGTTTGTGTACAAGTTGTTTCCATGTTGATATAGTAGAATAAATAAAGAGCAACACTCCCATTCTCATATAACACCATTTTTAGAAGAAATGATGCTCTGAGTGAAGGCATACAAAAGGAATAATTTTCTGCAGTTACCCATGGTAATATTGTAGTGTACGCATTTTCTCTGATGTTGGAATAGAGAACACTTTATTCTTGCCATCACTCCAAGTTGTCTGGCTTTCATGTCTCATATTTGTTAATTTATTCTACTGTGGGGTGTATTTATCATGTTTGTGTTTTGGAGCATATTTATTATATAATTTTGAAAAAATATCATAGATGTATTAATGAAAATGTGTATATGTATTAACGTAATATGCAACATTTAATGTGCCTCAGTGATTATTATTGAGTGTTATTATCATTATTATTATGGTGTCTCAAGACATCAGACACTCTTAATGATTTTAATGTGTACCTGCATGCCAGCACAGTGTGTAAGTTTATTTAGGTACAGGTATACACAAGCATAATTATCAGAGTATATATAAAATAACTTTTAAAAACACTCGATATTTTCGAAAGTTTCCAGACATAATGGAGAGAGACAGAGCTCACGGAGAATGTAAACAAACCAGGTAGGGCGCTGTGACCATATTAGAAAGTCAGGTGGGGGAGCCGTATAGCGAGTTTTGGTCATCATTTGAAATGTCCATATTAGCGAAATGCTGTAAAGCGGGGCCTACTGTATATATTTAGATTCAGGGTTATATAAATATAACATAATTTCTGTATTATAACACCTGTGTGCCTGCAACACCATTGTACATACATTTACAAGTAAATTTATATTACAACTGTTTCAAAACATGGAAATAAGTCACATTGTTCAACTTCATTGGGTTATCCGAGGTTAAATCTACTTAGTGTGCTTTTTGGCTGAGTTGTGTTATAATAAGTTTTTGGAATGAATACAGCATCTTTCAGGCAGTTCCACACCACATTTGCTGGTAGGGAAGCTAATGGTGGAACAATAGGTCCTGATTTCATTGTTTACTTATGGTAGTTGGGCATTGTTACTCCAAGATACATTGTATTGGCATGTCTGGTCTTAAATTATTTTCACGGGCATGAAGAAGTTGTAGGAGACCCAAACAGTTGTGCAGAGGACAAAAGTATTGGCAGGTGGCATATTTGAAGGCACAAAAAATTTTTAATATTAGTACACTGGATATTATTATCTTCAGCTACGTTAGACGTAGTCGAAGATAACGATGTCCAGGTATGATACTGATATACAGTATTAACCCTTCAACTATGTTAGATGTAGTTGAAGGGTTAATACTGTATATCAGTATCATAACTAAGTTGTGTGTTGTTGCCTGCTTTTCTTTTATCTGGTATTAATTTTTTTTAACCAAATTATCTTTTTCAGGGGTGGATGTACAGAAGATGTCAAGCCACCAGTGTGTCCTGTAATGGACATTACCGACAACACTCAATGCAAATTTAACCTGTCCTCATTCAAGATGGTTTTTGTAGTTAATAGTGATTCATATATGTACAAGAAACAGGCTCTCAAGCGGGCCAAACAAGTAAGATTACCATTTCTTAAGTTACATGTTGAACCGAGACATTTCTTTCAATAAGGTTTCCTCATGAAATACTCCCAAAGTATTTTATATATATACTAGTGATAATGTTTACATTTAGTGTGAGTACATTTTCAGATAAGCTTGAGCAATCACAAACATGTTTACCCAAGCCTTCATATACAGAGGACAAAAGTATTAAAAAAAAAATTATCTTGCAGAGCCATGAGCACGTGAGTCGAAGGATGCGCAGTGGCTTATTGTCATGGCATGGTAATTGGTGCACAAGAAATGTGTCTGAAGCAGATCAGCGAGCTGCGATGGACTGGTTTTTAGGACATACAGATGGCTTACGGCCGAACTGTACAAGAATAGTGCGTATTGATGACCCTTCCCGACCACCTTTTGCACCCTATAACAAGTACAAGTGTGAACTAGAAGAAAGTGGAGGGTCCTAACGCGTGGTGTTAATCTTACCCCTGTCATCTGGTCAGAGATTATCTTCAGATTGATAGGGGTGAGAAACTGTTTATGTCATTGGAGTCAAACTCCTTTACTATGTGAGCTGTGACTTAGACTTTACTCTGAGGGTAAAGTTGTGTGGACGTCACCTCGAAGTACAAGAATGTAGCAAGGATGGTGGTGTGGACCGTAAGTTGCAGCAAGGCGGCAGGGAGTGTTGTGGGGAAGGGGAGGGGAGGGGTGATAGAAATGGAGCATATGCAACTTAATCCTGTAGCTTGTGATGGAGTTGCAAGAATTCCAAGTTGTCATGACATCTACAATGCATCTTCTTCAAGCTAAGTGTACAAGTGTTGTAAGACTGATGGCAACAGTAATACTAAGCTAGTGATGCATAAAATCAATTGATGTGCCTCATGAATGCCTGTCAGTACAATGTAGTATTAAAAAGTAAATGCAAGTTGCAGCATTGAAGCATCCCAGTGACAAGAATCTGCCCCACACAAGGACTGCCCACTCACCATCCATACCGCTGCAAGGTGTCCACAGCACAAACTTGCTACTAAATTTTGCAACAACCACTTGTATGTTTTGTTGCTGGGACCGAGAGCTTGGACTCTTAAAGAGAGCCAGTTGTACAAGTGAATGATAATTATAATTTATAGTTGTACAGATGATCTGATTTACGTTTTTGTTAATGAAGATGTTTCCTTGTATAAGACGAAATTCAGGGGAGATGGGGGCAACAGTGGTTAATTGTGGGCTCCTTTTTAGCCAAATCTCATTCTCCCTACACACAAAATAGGGCTTCTTCCCAAAATGAGTTATTTATTGCCAGATATATACAGTATATATTTAAATATATAGCATATATGATCAGGGATATGAATTATCAAAGGCATTTGTTTGCCATGTTTATATTCACCAGGATTAAGTCAAAGGTGATAAAAGATATACATAAAATATGTAAATATTTTATAAATATTTTAAAATGTACATGACATTTTTTCAAACCCCACTACCACATACATTTTACACAAATATATGCACACATTACCTGTTACATACACTTCCTTATGAGTCATCTGGATGACTCGACAGACACTCGACAAGGAAATGCCTTCCCTCAATTCCTGGTATAGTTACAGGCCACCCCAAACCCTCATCTCCTCCCGAACTGGATGTCTCAAAAAACTGCCGCGGCCTAGATGACACTATTTAGCTTTAAGAAGTCGCTCCGGCGTGGGTGTGCGTGCTACCAGATTCGCCAGACTCAAATGTTTATCCTTCAACAAAGGATGGGGCATTACACAAACACATTATACTGGTTCCCAGAGCACTACTGCCACTGCCAAGGGAGTGCAATAAGGCAATCTCCAAGGTTGTGAACATTCTAGTGGTGTGTGGCAGCTGAGATACCAACCAGGGGAACCTTGATACAATTTTTCTTGTAACTTTATCATTCATGGACAATTGCTTTTACATTACAGTGCTTCTGTTATTGGATTTAAAGTGTGGAATGTTTGCTTCATGCAGGCGTTCACAATTTGTTTTCATAATTTTTAAATGGTCGTATAATTTTGGACATTAAATTGTTTCACTTCAATATAATTTAATATTTTAAGCCTTTGATGCTGTTTACTAAAACATGCCAATTTAAATATTGTGCCACGGGAAATGAGGATACTGTCCAGAATGTCTCCTTTAATCATCACTAAAATTATTTTTTGTAGTACAAGTTGTAGGACGAAATAAAGCACACCTAAGTTGGTGACTTCCGTGTATTTAGAGAAATATTTCTTTTCTATCCCTCATGTCAATCACAGAAAGTGTTTGTAATAGACATTGAAAACAATAAATCTTTTTACATTCTATTGAAACTTTTTTTATATAATTTTCCCACTTGGTCAGGAATATATAATGGTCATGAAGTGAAAAGTATTTTTTTTATTATTAAATCTTGTATTTGTATTCATAGTGCCTTATTCACATGAAGCTTGGTGTTCTGTAGACTTCACAGATAAGGGTTTCCATGTCTTGTAGAGGTTAAAAAAAATTCTGAGTAGTTAACTTGAACCCGAGCTTGCCATACCAGCAGTGACATTAGAGGAAATTTTATTAGGTGGATTTCCCCCCCCCCCCCCAACAAGTCGGCCGTCTCCCACCGAGGCAGGGTGACCCAAAAAAAGAAAGAAAATCCCCAAAAAGAAAATACTTTTATCATCATTCAACACTTTCACCACTCCCGCACATTATCACTGTTTTTGCAGAGGTGCTCAGAATACAACAGTTTAGAAGCATACACATATAAAGATACACAACATATCCCTCCAAATGCCAATATCCCAAACCCTCCCTTTTTTAAAGTGCAGGCATTGTACTTCCCATT